ACCTGGCTAATTTTTGTATTTTTAGTAGAGATGGGGTTTCACCATGTTGGCCTGGCTGGTCTTGAACTCCTGACCTCAGGTGATCCACCAGCCTCAGCCTTCCAAAGTGCTGGGATTACAGGTATGAGCCACCATGCCCCACTATCCATTATATCACTCTTATGCCTTTGCATCTCCTAGCTTAGCTCCTGCTTGTAAGTGAACACATATGATGTTTGGTTTTCCATTCCTGAGTTACTGAACTTAGAATAATGGCCTCCAACTCCACCCAGGTTGCTGTGAATGCCACGATTTCATTCCTTTTTATGGCTGAATAATATTCCATACACACACACACACACACACACACACACTTTTGTGTGTGTGTGTGCAACTGTGAAATGTGCTGCTGTAAACGTGTGTGCAAGTGTCTTTTTCAAATAATGACTTCTCTTCCTCTGGGTAGATACCCAGTAGTGGGATTCCTGGATCAAATGGTAGTTCTATTTCAGTTCTTTAAGGCATCTCCATACTGTTTTCCATAGTGGTTGTACTAGTTTAGATTCCCACCAGCAGTGTAAAAGTATTCCCTTTTTGCCACATCTACAGCAACATCTGTTGTTTTCTGATTTTTTTAATTACGGCCATTCTTCCAGGAGTAAGGTGGTATCTCCTTATGGTTTTGATTTGCATTTCCCTAATAATTAGTGATATTGAGCATTTTTCATATGTCTGTTGGCCATTTGTACATTTTCTTTTGAGAACTGTCTATTCATGTCCTTTGCCCACTTTTTGATGGGATTGTTTTTTACTTTGCTAATTTGAGTTCCTTGTAGATTTTGGATATTAGTCCTTTGTCAGATACACAGGTTGTTTTGGCTTTGTCAAAGATCAGCTGGCTGTAAGTATTTGGCTTTACTTCTAGGTTCTCTAGTCCGTTCCATTGGTCTGCATGCCTATTTTCATACCAGTACCATGCTGTTTTGGTAACTATGTTTAAAGTCAGCTAATGTGATACCTCTAGATTTGTTATTTTTGCTTAGTCTTGCTTTGTCTATGTGGGTTCTTTCTTGGTTCCATATGAACTTTAGGATTGATTTTTCTAGTTCTGTGAGGAATGGTGATGGTATTTTGATAGGAATTGCATTGGATCTGTAGATTGCTTTTGGCAGTATGGTCATTTTCACGATATTGATTCTATCAATCCATGAGCATGGGATATGTTTCCATTCATTTGAGTCATCTATGATTTCTTTCAGAAATGTGTTGTAGTTTTTCTTGCAGAGATCATCCACCTCCTTAGCATTTTATTTTATTTTATTTTATTTTTTGCAGCTATTGTAAAGAGGGTTGAGTCCTTGATTTGATTCTCAGCTTGGTCGCTGTTAGTGTTTAGCAGTGCTTCTGATTTGTTACACTGATTTTATACCCTGAAACTTTACTAAATTTATTTATCAGATCAAGGAGCTTTCTGAATCTTTAGGGTTTCCTAGGTATACGATCATGTTATTGGTGAATAGCGGCAGTTTGACTTTCTCTTTACCAATCTGAACGCTCTTTATTTCCTTTTCTTGTCTGATTGCTCTGCCTGGGACTTGCAGTACAATGTTGAATGGAAGTGGTGAAAGTGGGCATCCTTGTCTTGTTCTAGTACTCAGGAGAAATGTTTTAAACTTTTCCTCAGTCAGTATAATGTTGGCTGTGGGTTTGTCATAGATAGCTTTTATTACATTGAGGTATCTCCCTTCTATACAGATTTTTCTAAGAGTTTTTTAATCATATTGTTAAATGAAATGCTTTTTCTGAAACTATTGATAAGAGCATATGATTTTTATTTTTAATTCTGTTTATGTGATGTATCATATTTACTGACTTGTATGTGTTAAACTATCCCTACATTCTTGGTATAAAACCCACTTGATCATGGCATATTATCTTTTTGATAAGCTATTGGATTTGGTTAGCGTGTGTGTGTGTGTGTGTGTGTGTGTGTGTGTGTGTGTGTGTGTGTGTACATATAAATATTTTGAAATGAAGTTTTCCTCTTGTTGCCTAGGCTGAGGTGCGGTGGTGTGATCTTGGCTCACTGCAACCTCTGCCTCCCAGGCTCAAGTGATACTCCTGCATCAGCCTCCTGAATCTCTGGGATTACAGGCATGCAGCACCATGCCTGGCTAACTTTTGTATTTTTAATAGAGACAGGGTTTTACCATGTTGGCCAGGCTGGTCTCAAACTCCTGACCTCAGGTGATCAACCCACCTTGGCCTCCCAAAGTGCTGGGATTACAGGCATGAGCCACTGTACCCGGCTTTTTTTTTTTTTTTGAGGATTTTTGCATCTATGTTCACAAGAGATATTATTATATGGTTTTCTTTTCCTCCCTCCCCCATTTTCCTTCACCTCCCATCTCCTTCCTTCTTTTTTTCTTTTTGTTGTTGTTATTATACCCTTTCCTGATTTTGGAATTAGGGTGACACTGGCTTCACAGGCTTATTTAGGGAGGATGCCCTCTTTCTCTATCTTGTGGAATAGCTTTAGTAAGACAGACACCAATTCTTTTCTGAATGGCTGACAGAATTCAGCTGTGAATCCATGTAGTCCTGGACTTTTTTTTTGTTGGCAGTTTTTTCATTATGGTTTCAATCTTACTACTTGTTACTGGTCTGTTCAGCGTTTCTATTTCTTCCTAACGTAATCTAGGAGAATAGTATATTTCCAGGAATTTATCCATCTCTAGATTTTCTAGTTCGTGTACATACAGGTGTTCATAGTAACCTTGAATATTTAATCTTTAGTGTTTCTGTGGTATCAGTCGTAGTATTTCCCATTTCATTTCTAACTGAGCTTATTTTGATCTTCTCCTTGGTTAATCTCACTAATGTCAATGTTGTTTATCTTTTCAAAGAAAGAGTTTTTTGTTTCATTTATCTTTTGTATTTTCTGTCTGATTCAATTTCCTTTAGGTCTGCTCTAAACTTTGTTATTTATTTTCTCCTGCTGGGTTTGAGTTTGGTTTGTTCTTGTTTCTTTAGTTCCTTGAGGTGTAACCTTAGATTGTGTATTTGGGCTCTTTCAGACTTTTTGATGTAGACATTTAATGCTATGACCTTTCCTCTTAGCACCACTTTTGCTATATTCCAAAGGTTTTGATAAGTTGTGTCACTATTATTGTTCAGTTAGCAAGAATTTTTTAATTTTCACTTTGATTTCATTGTTAAGCCAAAGATCATTAAGAAGCAGATTATTTAATTTCCATGTATTTGTATAGTTTTGAAGGTTCCTTCTGGAGTAGATTTCCAATTTTATTCCACTGTGGTTTGAGAAGGTACTAGATATAATTTTGATTTTGGTACATTTATTGAGACTTGTTTTGTGGCCTATCACATGGTCTATCTTAGAGAATGTTCCATGTGCTGACAAGAATGTATATCCTGCAGTTGTTGGGTAGAATCTTCTGTAAATATCTGTTAAGTCCATTTGTTCTACAGGATAGTTCAAGTCCATTCTTTGTTGACTTTTGTCTTGATGACCTGTCTAGTGTTGTTAGTAGAATATTAAAAGTCCCCCACTATCACTGTGTTGCCATCTATCTCAGTTCTTAGGTCCAGTAGTAATTGTTTTATAAATTTAGGAACTCCAATGCTAGATACATATATATTTAGGTCTATGATGTCTTCCTGCTGGATTCTTTTATTATTATATAATGTCCTTCTTTGTCTTTTTTAACTGTTGTTGCTTTAAAATTTATTTTGTCTGACATAAGAAGAGCTATTCCTGCTAGCTTTTGGCTTCCATTAGCATGAAATATCTTTTTCCAGCCCTTTACCTTAGGTTTATGCGAGTCCTTATGTGTTAGGTGAGCCTCTTGAAGACAGCAGACATTTGGTTGGTGGATTTGAATCCATTTTGCCATTCTCTGTTTTGGTTTTTTGGGTTTTTGTTTGTTTGTTTGTTTTTTTGATACGGCATCTCACATTGTCACCCAGGCTTTAAGAGAAACATTTAGGCCAATTATATTCAATGTGAGGTATTGTTTTAATCACTGTGCTAGTTGTTGCCTGAATACCTTTTTTCTTTCATTGTGTTATTATTTTATAGGTCCTCTGAGATTTGTGCTTTGAGAAGGTTCTATTTTGGTGTATTTCAAGGTTTGCTTCAAGATTTAGAACTCTTTTTAGCACTTTTTGTAGTGCTAGTGTGGCGATGGTAAATTCTCTCAGCATTTGCTTATCTGAAAAAGACTATCTTTCCATTTATGAAGGTTAGTTTTGATCAATACAAAACTCTTGGCTGACAATTATTTTGCTGGAGGAGGCTAAAGATAGGATCCAAATCCCTTCTGGCTTGTAGGATTTCTGGTGAGAAATCTGCTGTTAATCTTATAGGTTTTCCTTTATCGGTTACCTGATGCTTTTGCCTTGTAGCTCTTAAGATTCTTTCCTTGCTTTTGCCTTTAGATAACCAGATGACTTTCATGATCTTTTGTGATGAATTTCCCAGGTGTTCTTTCAGCATCTTGTATTTGGATATTTAGATCTCTTGTGAAGCCAGGGAAGTTTTCCTTGATTATTCTCTGAAATATGTTTTCCAAACTTCCATATTTCTTGTCTTCCTCAGGACCACCAATTATTGTTAGGTTTGGCCGTTTAACATAATCCCAAACTTTGAGGAGGCTTTGTTCATTTTTTAATTCTTTTTGCTCTGTCTTTGTCTGACTGGGTTAATTTGTAAGCTTTGTGTTTGAGCTCTTAAGTTCTTTCTTCTACTTGTTCTAGTTTATTGTGGAAATTCCAGTGCATTCTGTATTTCTCTAAATGTGTTTTTCATTTCCAGAGGTTGTGATTTTTTTAACGATATTTATTTCTCTGGAATATAATATTTATTTATTCTCTGGAATAAATATCCCTATGAGATTTGTTTCTCTAGAGTAAATATCTTCTGGAGCATTTTTCATCCATATCCTGTATTTTTTTTTTTTAATTTCTTTAAGTTGGTTTTCACCTTTCCCTGGCATCTCCCTGAACAGCTTAATAATCAACCTTCTGAATTATTTATTTCGCAATTCAGAGACTTCTTCTTAGTTTGGATCCATTGCTGGGAAGCTAGTGTGGTCTTTCGGGGATGTTATAGAACCTTGTTTTGTCTTATTACCAGAATTACTGTAGACTATTTCAGTGGAAATAGTCTATTGGGTAGACTATTTCGGTGGAAAAATCTGGAACTCAAGTGCTGTTGCTCTGATTCTTTTGTACCACATTGTGGTCCCTTGATGTGATGCACTCCCCCTTAGATATGGGGCTTCCTGCAAGCCAGACTGCAGTGATTGTTATTGCTCTTCTCAGTCTAGCCACCCAGTAGGGCTACCAGGCTCTGAGCTGGTGCTTGTAAATGTCTGCAAAGAGTCCTGTGATACAATCTGTCTTCAGGTCTCCCAGCTGTGGATACCAGCACCTGCTCTGGTGGAGATGGTAAGGTAGTAAAGGAGGCAGTAGACTCTGTGAGAGTCCTTGATTGTAGATATGTTTAGTGTGCCGGCTTTTTCGGATGCTGGTTATATAAGCAGTGTTGTCACATGGAGAGACTCGGGACCACTAGCTGGCCCGGATGTTGCAGGCAGTAGAATAAGCTGTTGTTTTCTCCTTCCTTGGAGCAGGATTATTCTGTAATGAGTTGCTGTAATGTTGTGAGTTCATTGGCCTCCAGTCAGAAGGTGGCAGTTTTGAGAGAGCACCAGAATTTTCTGCCTGTCTCACAGAATCTGAAGCAGCCTGCTCTTCTTTCAAAGGATCTGTGAGTTCTTTCAGTTTTTTTACTACACTCCTGTGGTGGTTCCTGGAGCAAAAAATCCACAGTGTGAGTCTCCATACACTGTTCTGTCCATCCAAGTTAAGAGCTGCAGGTCAGCCCTGTCTCCTATCCAACATCTTGAACAATCATGCCAGAAGGCAAAGAGGAATCAGGCATGTCTATATGGACCAAGAAGGAGGCAGAAAGCTGTGTATATACTTTATATTCAACAAGACAGGAAATCTCACATATCAACTAGAAAACACAGTAGAAAAACAGGCAAAGACTTGAACAGGTATTTCACAAAAGAAGATACTTAGTGGCCATTAATCATATGAAAAGATGCTGACATTCATTAGTTATCAGTGAAACAAAACTAAAACCACTTTGAGATGCCATTGTATATCACTGGAATGGCTTTAATCATAGACAAGTTATATCGAGTTCCCATGTTGAGTCACTATGAGCTACTTACTGTTATGAAGCCCTGGGACCTATCTAGTTGTTAGTGCCCCCATCTATGTATACCAAATCCTTATCAATTCAGCCTTCTGAATGAGACTAATAGATTCCAGAGAGGAATGGGCAAAGTGTTTATAAGGTTATAAAGTCACGCAAGGTTACTTTTAGTGCTATTTCAGTTACAGTATAGGTTAAATGAATACATGAAAGTTTATTTAAGGTTCTAAGTCACCATTTATAAAATAACCCCTAAGTATTCTCACTGAAAATTTTACACATAATTATTTAACAAACTGTCATATACAGCCATGTGGAATTACAATGTAGTCATTAAAAATCATGTTTTGAAAAATGTAGTATTTAAAGACTGAATGAGAAAATGAAGGATGTATAATAAACACCTATATATCCTTCATCTAGATTGTTAACATTTTACCACATCTTACACACACACACACACACACTATTTTCTTCTGACCCACTTGAAAGTAATTTGTAGCACACGATTGATGTGGTGATGTTACAAAAAAACATAAGTAATGGCCAGGCGCGGTGGCTCACACCTGTAATCCCAGCACTCTGGGAGGCCAAGGTGGGTGGTTCACCTGCAGTCAGGAGTTCGAGACCAGCATGACCAACATGGTGAAACCCCGTCTCTACTAAAAAAATACAAAATTAGCTGGGTTTGGTGGTGAGTGCCTGTAATCCCAGCTACTGGAGAGGCTGAGGCTGGAGAATCACTTGAACCCAGGAGGCGGAAGTTGCAACGAGCTGAGATCACGCCATTGCACTCTAGCCTGGGCAACAAGAATGAAACTCCAATTAAAAAAAAAAAAAAAAAGAAAACAAAAGTAATTTGTAGACATCATGCCACTTCACTCCTACATACTTCTTCTTCTGAGAATAAGGACATTTTCCTATGTAATCAAAGTATCATTTATATGACACCCCCCCAAAATAACATTTTATAAAATCATCTGATGTATAATTCACACTCAAATGTTACAAATTGTTCCACAAATGTCTTTTATATGAGTTTTTATTAAATGGAAATTTACTGAACTTAATTTTATTAATCCACTGAATTTGGTTGGTAAGCCTCCTTAGTCTTTTTTTAATTGACTCTCCCCCACCACTACCACAAAGCTTTTTTCATTATACTGACTTTCTTGAACAGACTAGGCCAGTGGTGTTTTAAAACAGCAAAAATTCTAGATCTGTCTCATTGTTCCATCATAATTAGGTTTAAATTAAACATTTTTTGGTGGAACAACTATACTAGTGATTTTTTTTTTCTTACTGAATCCAATGGAAGGCAAAAATAATGGGCTGTCCCACTGTTCATGATGCTAAGATTCATCATTCTGTTAAGCTGATGATTGCCAGATCTCTCAATTACAAAGGTGTATTTTCTCCTTTGAAATTAGTAAATAATTTGTCAGGTGATACTTTTAAACCAATGAATATTTAATTTCCCAACAAACTTTCACCATCAATGATTCTTGCCTGAGTCAATTACTACAATGAGAGTTACAGAATGGTTTTTCTGATTTCACCATTCCTTCTACATTTCATCAACTGGCATTCTTCTGTAAAGAACCACCCCCACCAGAACTTTTTTACTATCAACATGGACTTATGAATTCTTTACAGGACAAATTATAATATACAGTCCCCTTCAGTATCTGTGGGATACATTGGTTCCAGGACCTCCCAGCAGATACCAAAATGCACAGATGCTCAAGTCCCTTACATAAAATGATATGGTATCTGCATGAAGCCTACACACACCATCTCATGTATTTTAAATCATCTTTCCATTGCTTATGATACCTAACACAATGTAAATACCATGTAAATAAGTGTTATATTGTTTAGGAGGAAATGACCAAAAAAAAAGTCTATACCTGCTCGGTACAGGCACAACTACAGATCACTTTGGATCTGTCATTGGCTGAATCTGCATATGTGGAACCCACTGATACACAAGGCTAACTGTATATTTTGTCAAATGTTCAAATTATCCCAAATCTAGCCAATAAAAACTGCTCCAAGTCAGCATCTATTACGTTTGGAATAATTTAGCATCTTTGAAGACAAAATGTCACCAGAGCACAAACAGAATTGAAGGCCTAAATAATTCAATCAGGCGAACAACATAAGAAAATTCAGGAAGCTTGCTCTGCACAGCTTCCTGTTCTTCCAAGTTTTATCCCATCTCTCAGTTAATGGCACTGCCACTGTTGAATCAATTACTCAAGCCAAAAAATGAAGAAGAATTCTCAACACCTCCCTTTCCCTCACTACTAGTTGGAAAGGAAAATAGAGTGGTCAGAGGATTCGAGCACTATTACTTTCTAGCTAACGCCCTTCTATACTGTCTGTATTTCTTCCATTATCATTTCATTTTTAAAGAGCATTATTTTATAAATGTAAAACAAGGCTATGGTTCATCAACTTTTAAAGGCAAAACAACCACCTCCACATTTCAGCAAAATTTCTTGTACTTTTTCTAGATTTATAGCCCATTCAGGTCTATATTCTCCAACAAAGAGTGGTTCCTGACACTTTATTATCAGAACTGGTAAGACCATATAAGTCACCTAGTCCAAACATCCATCTAATACTTGAATTTCTTCCATAACAACTCTACCAAATTGTCATTTAGGACACGCTGAAACCATTTGTAGAAAGAACAAATTCCCCTTTTTCCATCCCATAATCTGGGCTACTTTGTTCAAAGTTCCTCCCTGTGTTTAGTACCAAAATCACTGGTCACAGTTCTATACTTGAAGTCACAAAATAGTTCTGTCCCTATTCTACACAACAGTAAAGCAAATATTTGAACTAGCACCCATTATGGTAGAATATGCTTATGCTGCCCCTTGATTTATACCTCAGAAGGCTGAGGATACAACCTTAAAATAGCTTAATTCCATTTAGTAACTAATTATGAATCTACCATGTGTGAAAACAGCTAAACTTTCAGAGAAGTTAATTACATTTTCAGTTTCAAAATAAAGTGCTTCTATCCAACTGTCTTATTTCAAGGGGGCGGGGGGGGGGCAGATAAAGAAACAACAGACAATAGTTAATCAGTCTGAGATTTAAAAACAAGTTCAACTTAACTATATGATCACAGTCTTCTATACTGCAAATTCAACCCTTTACCTTCCAAGTTGAAATACCCAAACCATCTTAGTTTATATACTATGGTACCTTTCTCCTAGTCATCTAGTTTGCCTTTTTCCAAACCTACTCTAGTTCTTATCTTCCTATAATGTAACAACACTGGTCAAAAGTAAAAAGGTATGATGACTTTGCACAATAGTAGGATTACATTTTTTACTTTGTTTTGAACCAGTATCCAATAAGTACAGTTTACTGAGCCAGGCTTGAATACCTACATCTAGCCAGAGCACTAACAGCCTTAGTGGGCTTCAATATTTGAAATGGGTCATCTGGCCATTTGCAATCAACAAGGGTAATTTATTAATACAATACTTACTATTTACCCTGTACTGGCAAATATAGGCAAGTCTCTTACAGCATGAGTTTTTATAACATAATGTAGATAATAACATCAGCAATTAAGGGGAAAAGTCAGCACACTAAAGCATTATTACAATGCCAACTAGAATAAGCACGACGTTAAAAAAAATAATAATAGTTGCATCAAAGAATAGGCACATAGAGCTGCATTGTTTGCCTGTTCTTCTAAAATAGAATTTTTGTTTACTCAAGGATTCTTTTATTCTTTTGTTTACCACTGGCAGTTGTGAACAGATCTACAACTAAAACTGCATGGACAAGGACAAATGTGATAGAAAAAGCCAAGAACCTTCTGAGTATGTGGATGGACTCAGGGGTAAAGGGGGAAAAACTTGGTTTGTTTTTATAGAATTTAGTCAGCATGTTTATTATTTTTAGAGTAAAGCTACTTAATACTTATTATTAGTCCTACAGAAACTCTCCAGTACTCTTTCTCCAATGAAACTGCTGTTTTCATGAGAGATTCTTCACAGTAAGAGATTTAGCAGAAAAACAACCATGACGTTACAGCAGAAACAACTACAGGCTACTATCTGCAAACAGACATATTTAGGATAATCATCTACCACTAAGTATCTTAAATTCTTCTTAAAAATATAAGTCAGAATAATCGGGCACTGGAGAAATGGGTAATCACAAATGACTGAAAAAAGAGATTAATTAAATAAATATATTAAAGTACATGCAACTTATATGGCCTTATGAGAGCTTGAAAACTTGTTTTGCATGCATTGTCTAATGTTATAAAAAAATCTCTGTGGATGAATTCATCTTACAGATGAAAAATCAGAAGTGCTCAAAAAGACTGAATTGCTCAAGCTCAAAGAGCTCATAAATCATATATGTTAATCCCAAATCTAATAATATTAAGAAA